TTTCATACATTGGGGCATAGTCCTTATCTATGTCTGGTCAGATGTGACTACAGCAGAAAACAGGATTGACATGGGGAGAAAAGGAACAGGAAAGAATACTGTGTATCAGTGAACTTTGAGCAACATTAATGAAGCTCACCGCTCTACCTTCATAATCCAGGAATACTCCTATTCGGCCAATGGGCCTTGGTACATATTGAAGTACAAGTGGGGAGGTGGTAAAGAGAGTGCAATGGGAACCCTCCTTAACACATCCAAGAAGGAAGAGCCCCTCCACCTCATCCATCTTGTAATTTCTGTTCTTTTTCCAATAATCATTACAGACTCCCAAAGCCCAGTTCCAAGAGTCTCCCACTTCCACCTCCCAGTAATATCTGCCAGTGGCAAAAGTCTGAGTACCCCAGGCAAGAAAGCATTCTGATGTTGGAATGATCAAGGAGGAACGTTGTGGATTGCATCCAACATTCACGCTTCTCAACTCTCCATACAGGAAGATGTGGCAGTTGGCTCTTTCAAGACACAGAGTAATATCAACTGTAAGAAAAATATTGCAGACATGTATGTAAATAATAAGAAGTTAAAGTTCTAAAAAAAATCTTTCTGAGAAGAAATGATACTACTGAAAAATGTGAAATTGTAACAGCAGCAATGATTTTGGTTGTAAAATCTAATAAATTATGGGCATAAATAGTAAATCTACAGAACAAACAAATTCCTTGCCCTAGATACAGAAATTTGTTGAAAATGTGAAAAATCAAATATTGAGCCAAATATAAAACTAATATCTTTTAATTTAATTTTTATTTCAAATTAGCTACAGAGAGGATGCCCTTAATTCTCTGGAGGCATCAAAAATAAGTATCAGAATAATATTTCTATTTCAAAAAAATGGTGTCATTATTTGGATGAGAGGTGAAGATTTTCTCTCTTGTGACCTTTTCTAGATAACTGGATAAAACTACATTTATACATTTTAGAAATTATCACTTGGTGAAATTAATTCTTATTCATAGTTACTAAATATACAAATATCTTATAAATGTTTTTGGAATCCATGTTAATCCTTTCTGTTATTCCTCAAATTCAGTAATTTTAGAAAGAATAGTTTAAAATTTATTTATGCAAAACTTTTCACTATCCCTAAGTTTTCTGCATGCTCTGCATTGCCCTTCATACCTGAGATTTAACATATAGCTCTTTATATTGAGCAAACAAAAATCAATTTTATGTGTATTTTCCTTTCTTGGTGATAAAGCTAATTTCTTATCTTAGATTTCCTATAGCTATTTAAAATTTTATGTCATTTAATCATATATACCTATGGTAAAAACAACATAAAGTTCTAGTCAAATATTTACCCCC